CTTCGATGGTGTAAAGCAGTTAGGGTTAGCTAGTTGGAGGGAGTGTAATCCGTCTATGTTGACATGTATGAGAAAGTGGGTAAGCTGTGGGAGATTGATGGCACAAGTTGTGATCTTCTGGCCTAAATCCGATGAACATAGCGTTATCTCGCAAATTTTGTTCGAATTCTGTACTACCATTCCTCCCATTCCAGAGATTTGGTAGTGAGTTTCTCTTGTGGGTAGGCCAAGGAGTTTTTGAATTCGCGACGCCACAAAGGTCTTCTGTGATCCTTGATCGACTAAAGCACGAATTTTATAATACTCTCCTTCAAAGTAAATGGGTCGACATTTGCGCTTGGGTTCTTTGAGGTTTTGGGTTGGCCCTAGTTGATTGGGATTGTGGTTGGAAATGGAGAAGGGAGTGATGTTTCTTTTGGTAGTATACGCATAAGAACTTGCTCTGACAATCACTCTTGAAGTGGGAATATGAGAGGCAATTCTCACAATATTTACTTTCTCTTACGAACTTGAGTCGCTCAGTTACGGACGGGGCATTAAACTTCACGCAGGTTTTCATTGGATGGTTTTGGTTGCATAATTTACATGATACCTGCTTCCGTGTGAAAGTTGTGGGTCTTCGGTTTATTAAAAGGGTGTGAGTTTTGATTAATTGCTCTGGGGGGAAGTTTGGTAGAGGCGTTCGTGTTTTACCTGGGAGATAAGTGCTGAGTCTTTCCACAACTTCGTACCGAGTTGTTAAAAACTCATTCATATCTGCCCACAGCGGCAGTTATTTTCGAGAACTCAGCGACTGTTCCCACAAAGAAAGGGTTTCACTGGACAGTTTCGAAGAGCAAATATAGACAAGGATGGGGTCCCGCACTTTCATTGTAAGCTTTCGTCAGTCAGCGGGTATTGCTTAACCAATTGCCCTGCCTGGCCTCTCGGTTTTTGGCGCAAATGGTAGAGTTTCTGAGCTGGTGTTAGTTTGGGGTAATTTCCATAGAATGCCGTGAACATATCCCTAAAGGCCGGCCAGTCTTCGTACCCTCCATGGAAGATTTCGGTGTCACATGGTGGTACTTTCAGAAAAACTTCAGGGGCGCTTGAAGTGTTTGGGGGGTTTCTGGGTTGTGGAGGTGGTGCTAAAAGCTGCAGAGCATCTATTATTTGGGACATACAATTTTCGTAGCTTTCTGAGCACTTTTTATATTTTTGCTCAATTGAGCCACTTGACTAATCATGATCTCCGGAGAGGGATACTGCTCTAAAGGATGCAACGAGCGATTCCCACAATCTGTCCGGTTGCTGGATCTTGACCTTCAATAGGGATTCTGTTTGGTCAGCTATAAGAGTTACTGACCATGTAGAGTAAAAGGACTCTAATCTATTGCTTTCAAATATGGAGGCTTGGAGGCTTGCCTCTGAATCATTATCAGTAGCAGTTATTGATTTCTTTTCTATGGTGTTTGAGATGCGTAATTTGGGTTGGGTTAATTATATAAACTGTACCTCTTTATAATATTAAGGGGTTTGAGTCCAGTTTAATTAGATTTAAAATAATTCTTTGATTATTATTTTTTTTGTGTGGGTACTGGTTTTGTCCCACCGTGAGTCAGTTGCTTTTT